TCCTTCAGCTTTGTTTTGTTTTTGTTTTTAAGCCATTTTGGCTACTATAGGTCCTTTGCATTTCCTTATGAATTTTATTTTACTTTATTTTTTGAGTTGGAGTCTCAACTCTGTCATGCAGGCTGGAGTGCACTAGCATGCTCATGGCTATCACAGCCTCAGCCTGCTGGGCTCAGGCAATCCTTTTGCCTCAGTCTTCCAAGTAGCTGGAACTACAGGCACGTGCGACCATGCCCAGCTTATCTTTATGAATTGTAGAATCAGCTTGTCAGTTCCTACAAAAAAGTCAGCTGAAATTTTGATTGGTATTGTGTTGAATCTCTAGAATAATTTGGAGAAAATATACATCTTGACAACACTGAGAGTTCTGGCCTATAGGCATACTATCTCTGTTTAATTAGGGTTTAATTTCTGCAATATTTTATAGTTTTTAATGTATAGGTCTCATACATCTTTTGTCAGATTTATCTCTATGTATTTCATATTTTAATGCTATAGTAAATGGTATTTTTACAAATTTCAATCTGTTATTGTTAGCTATAGAAATACAATTAATTTTTTTCTGTATTCGTCTTGTATCCTACAACCTAATAACCTCACTATAACCTAATAACCTTTTTTGTAGAGTCCATCAGATTTTCTACATAGACAATCAAGGTATCAGAAAACAAATACAGTTTTACTTCTTTCTTTTCAATCTGGATGCCTTTTATTACTTTTTCTTGACTTAATGTACAGGCTAAGATCTCTAATACAATGTTGAATAAATGTAGTGAAAGTGGATATTCTTGCCTTTTTCCTGATTTTAGGGGGAAAATTTTCATTCTTTCACCTTTAAGTATGATGCTAAGTGTGGATTTTTTGTAGATGTCCCTAATCAAGTTGAAGAAACTATCTACTATCCCTAAATTTTTGAGTGTTTTGGTTCTTTTAAAATCAGGAATGAGCCGGGCTGGTGGCTCAGCCTGTAATCCCGCGCCTTTGGGAGGCTGAGGTGAGTGGATTGCTTGAGCCCACGGGTTCGAGACCCGCCTGGGCAGCGAGACCTCATCTCTACAATAAAAAAAAATCAGCCAGGCGTGGTAGCACATGCCTGTAATTCCGGCTACTTGGAAGACTGAGGCGGAAGGATCGCTAGAGCCCAGCAGGTTGAGGCTGCAGGGGC